CAGTTGGGATTTTTTTTGTTTGTTTGTTTGATTGATTGGTTTGGGGATCACACCAGGGAGTGCTCAGGACTTATTCCTACCTCTGCACTCAGGAATCACTCCAGGCAGGGCTCAGGGGACCACAAGGGGTACTGGGGATCGAACCGCGGTCAGCAAGGCCAGTGCCCTCATGTTATACTAGCACTCCGGCCACTCGAATGACCCCATTTGAGCCCCAGTTCCACTCCTATCTCCCGGCTCTCCTGTGGCTCACTCTCTGACCCCAGCCATGGCAGATGGGACCCTGGAGGTTCCATTTTTTTGGTGACTTGGGGGCCAGTCAAAGGAGAGCCACAGCAGTGAAGGGTCGAGAGGTTTCTCAGCAGCTTGAAGGCGGGCCGGCGGGCTCAAGCCTCAGAGCGGCCATCCTGTCCTGTCTTCCTGGGGCAGAGAAGAGGCTTCCCTGCAGTGCAGCAGCGAATTTCTTCTTGGGCTGAACCCTCGAGGACCTCATCTTATCTACACATCTAAACAAAGAAAGGACCAAATTAGGAATCTGTCCTCAACATTAGGCCTTTTGGGCTGAGCAGGGGAGAAAGATAAGGGCAAGGTCCTGGGGTGGGCGTTGGCTGCTCCTCTCACTGGGTGGGTCTCTGAGCCGAGTCTCTTCTGCACAGGCTGCCCTGGAGAATCGTCAGTCCTTGCCCAGGTGGCGTTTCTCTGCCTGGGAGGCTGCGTTCTGCAGTCCTCATGCCCTGGGACGCAGTGGGCCCCTGAGAGTGGAACCACGCAGGGCAGCCCCGCAGACGCCCAGAGCCCTCCTGACGCCAAGGGGGGATGCGAGTGGACCTGGGGGGAGGTTCCCCGGGTGGACAAGCAGGATACCAAGCAGAGAGCTGGGCCTGAGGCCTCAGAGCCGGAGAGTCACCCATGGGGGGTGTGGGTCAGACTTCGGCTTTGGGCCGAGAGGAGCCAACGGTCTACTTCCTTTTGACGGGCAGCATTGCCAGGGGGTCAGGGGCACGTGTGGTCATCTCCTTGGTCTTCTGGCTCCCACGGGGGTGTGAAGCTGGCTGGTTCTGCCCACGTCGGGCGGTCAGGGCCCAGAGCTGGTCCATCTGCAGGCCCTCTCGGACACTCCCTGGCACCCTCTGGCAGGCGAACAGAGAGACTGCGGGGTGCCCTCCGGGCCCTGCATTGGCGGTGGGCACGAGTGAGTTAATCCCTGCCTCCTGGAGCCCACGGGAACCCAGTTCGGGCTCGCTAATGGCCCCCCATCTGCTCTGCCTGTAACGCGACGCCCTCACCCAGGAACAGGCACCCAGGGACTTCCTGCGGGCGCCAAGCTGCCGGGGGCTGACATCTTGAGAGGCAGAAGGCTGGAGGGAAGGAGTGGGCTGAGGGAGGGGTGGGGGCGCCGAGGGAGGGACTGAACCCCCGGCCCGGGCGTCTGGGCTCGCGTCCCAGCCCTAGCCAGCTCCCTGCAGACCCACTCCCCTTCATCCCCGGGGGCTTGAGGCTGCCGGGGTCTTCCTGGAGCGTCACTTTCTGGAACCATCCAGTCGGCTCCCTCTCCTTGCAGCTGAGGAGTGAAGGCGCCCTTGGCCTCACGCAGGGCCCATCCCGGATAAGGGGGCCGCGTGCCTGAGGCATCCTCCCCCCCCCTCCCCCGGCCCACCCGCAGCCAGCTGCTACGGTTTCCTGATCCCAGCATGGAGTGGGCAGAGGGTCCACCGAATGCCCCCCGCCCCCACCCACGGGCTGCGCAGATGGCTGTCCTTTCTGCCCCTCACCCGACCTGTCCTCCTGGGCCCCCGGCCTCTCACCTCCCAGCTCCGCCCAGAGCCAGCTCACGCTTCTGACCTTCACTCCTTCCTGCTGTCCTCCCTCTGCTCTGCGTCCTCCCTTTCCTCCCTCCCTCTCTCCCTTTCTCTTCCTTTCCTCCCTCCCTTCCTCCCTTCCTCCTGTTCCTCCTTTCTTCCTTCAATTCTTCCTTCTCTACCCCCCTCATACTCTTCCTTCCCTCCCTCCCTCCCTCCCTCCCTCCCTCCCTCCCTCCCTCCCTCCCTCCTTTTCTCCTTTCCTTCCTTCACTCCCTCCCTCCCTTCCTCCCTCCCTCCCTCCCTCCCTCCCTCCCTCCCTCCTTTTCTCCTTTCCTTCCTTCCCTCCCTCCATCCTTTCTTCCCTCCCTCTCTTCCTCCCTTCCTTCTCTCCATCTCTCCCTTCCTCCCTTCCCTCCTCTCCCTCCCTCCTCTCCCTCCCTCCTTCCTTCCCTCCCTTCCTTCCCTCTCTACCTCCCTTTCTTCCCTCCCTCTCTTCCTCCCTTTCCTTCATCGTTCCCTCCCTCCCTCCCTCCCTCCCTTCCTTTCCTCCCTCTCTTCCTCCCTTCCTTCCCTCCTCTCCCTCCCTTCCTCCCTCCCTCCCTCCCTTGCTTCCACACATTCTCACAGAGCTCTGACCATATGCCAGACTGCGCAGGGTTTGGGGTGCAAGAGTGAGCAAGACTGTTCCCTGGGAGCCT